TGAGAGAGGAGAAGTGCAGGAGGAGGAGTTTCTACACTCAGCACTGCTTTCATTCACTGACAAACTAAAGTGTGTTTTTGATGTGACATACATCTCTAAAATTATAGGAGAAATGTAATATCTCATAATCTTAATGTTTTCAAGCAGATGGGGTTTGAACATCTGCTGATGTAAAAATCTCCATTTTAATTCATCGTCTAATAATCGTATAAATCACATCATCAATGTATCATTTCGTATTTATCTTCACTTTCTTCTTTATTGGTGAAGTAGCTGTTTGGAACAAGTTTGTATCTTTACATGTTTAAAGGTTAATCTCACCAAACACACATCTTATTTAATAATACAAACTGATTCAAAAACTATTCAAGAGTCACTGCATCTAGATAAACTAATGTCATGTGAATTTGTTGTATTGTTTTGGTTTAAGCTGAACATAAATTAAAAAAAGGTTTTTAAATTGTGTGTCAGGTGTCTTTGGGGCCTCAGGAAGCAGGATTCATGTAGTCGAAGTCCCGTGACTGTTACTGTATTTTGTGCATTAATCCCAGTTTCTGTACATTTTCTATCAGTGCAAGATATTATTTGAATCCTGAATTATTTCGACATTTCAGATACTATGGACGTTGCAGGGGCCATACTTATTTATTAATGTTTTCATAATTAAAGCAGGTAATAAAGGCATGAATAGATTCATCAACTATTGTGTAAATTAATAAAATATTTTCTTTTTAGATATTTTTAAACAGGTTATTGCACATGGTGTGGGACATTGAGTTGTTTTGAATGCTCTGTTATCAGATGTGTCAGAGACTGAAAAAACAGAAGTTCTTGTGAGGAGGTTTTTGTCACGGTGTAAATCACTGTGATACCACCTCATTCACAGATCTGTCATATGTGTGACAGTGATAGACTGCTGAGTCTCCCTCCTCCACATTGTTGATAATCAAACGATAATCTGTGTTTAACTGATGAGTTGATGTGAACTTTGGAGAGGAGACACCAGAGCTATACTTTGGAGAGCTATGGCTCTGATGAAACCTTAGTAGATACTGAGGGACTCCTCCAGGAATCTGTTTATACCAGCGAGCACTGCTATCAGTAACAGTCCCCAGGTTACAGTCCATGGAGGCTGTCTCTCCTTTCCTCACCGTCACTACAGGCTTCTGTGTCACCACCGGCACACCACCTACACCTGGAAACAACAAGAGGACATGGAGTCAAAAGAAACACACAGACTGATGAATCCAACATGAGGTCAGAGCTGCAGTCAGTCAGCCTGCTTACATGTTAGAGCAGTGATGAGAGTGCAGAGGGTCCCCAGCATGGTGTCAGTGTGTGAGGAGGGTCTTGGAACTAAGAAAGTGAGCTCACTGCTGACAGAGGAGAGTTTGGAGGATGAGGAGAGGAGGAGCTGGAGGAGCCATTTAATACTTGAACAAAAGAGGAGGAGCTTTGTTTATAATGATTATTTAAAGTGTTTATTTCCTTGACAATCCCAACAAATTTCATGTCAAGGTCTAAAAAGACTTCCTGCAGCCGTTTTATGAAAAATAGTTTCTTATTTCAGTTCACAATGGTGTGATTCATCGCAGTCAACGTTTTATTTTCTAGCCTTAGTAGGAGTTGGCAATAGTAATCTTTACAGTATATAATTGAAAACTTGTAAAGCCTTTTGCCGATTAAAAAAGGAAACAAATACAATATTTAGGATGTGCCCGAAAACAAAACACAGTTGTAGGGCTAGTTTATTCAGTTATTGGCAGTTGTACAGAGAACTGGAACTTAACCTCTTAATTTACATGAAACTAAATAAGGACAGAAAGACTGCAGGTGCATCCTGCATGAGAGAGAGTAGTTGAAAAATGAGCACTGTTCTTTATGCAGCTCTAATAGTAATCCAGTGCTGCTCTCTAGTGTGCATTCAAGAGCATAACACCTCATACTGTATCAACTCCCCTTACTTACTGGGTCTTGAAGTTTAAACCAAACACAGGCAAACAATACATTTTTCATCTATTGAAAGAATGGCATGCAAAGAGCACACTTCATGAGTACTGTAATTGTGTGTGCCTGTAAGAAAGTCTTACAAATAATGTACTACTACATGATGTATATGCTGTATGCAATATAACCATTTCAACCGATTACTTGAACTAAAGACATTGCCTAAATGAAGGTTTATAATATTTAGGAAATTTAGATTGTGGCTTTGAACTTTGGGAGACTTTCGTCGCACTTTGCTAAAATCTCAAAAATCTCTGACCTACTACTAACAACCAGCAGAGGGCCAATAAGAGTGTGGTGTGATAAATCAGCACGTGGGAGAGATTGGCCTTTAGGCCTGAAAGAGTCTATTCAAACCCAAACAAAGATATTTTTCTATCCCTAACGAGATATAGGTGGGGGTGAGGATTATTTTAGGTTTAAAATGCAATGTAGCATAAGCATTGCTAACTTTGAACTCCTTTTAAGATATTTTTGGTCTGATCAATGCATAATCAGACATACCAGTTGGGCCCCTGCCTCAATTTTGCGATACACACATGCCAGTGCCACCATGGTGATGCCAGTGCTGTATGCGTTTCTTTACATGTCCACTAGTGGCGTCACACACACACAGATACACACACACACAGATACACACACAAACACAAATACACACAGACACACACACACACACACACACACACACACACACACACACACACACACACACACACACAACACACACACACACACACACACACACACACACACACACACACAGACAGACAGCTACGGCTTTACTTACCACTCCGTCTCGATTATGTGCTCAGAAATAACACTTTAAACCTCTGCTTGATACAGTCTATGCTTGATACTCATACTGCCTGCGTTATCTGACAGTGACAAAACAATCCGACCCCCATGCACAGCGCCGACCCTTTCACCGGCCAAGAGTATCTGGGGAACAGTCTTGGATGGAACACGTGGTGACCTATATCAGGATAGAGGTACGTGACGTCCATGCCTGTGTTCCCCAAATAAGTTAAAACCTAAAGTATTTCAGGAAAATGTTGTCTTCAAAATGACCCTACATGCACGCGCACACGCTCACTGGCAGGATTCCTGTAGGCTGGCTGCGTAAAGTGTGACAGAGAAAGCTTGGGCAGTAGGCCTACGTGATTTTTGCTCTTCAAATTAAAAGCCCGACTCAATTTGTCTCGTAGTCCTGAGCAAGTCCGTTCTATTTTGAAAGGTTCAAACGGAAGTAGTTGCTAATTTTATGTGGCTTGACCCTGGTGCAAGATGTCGCTCATTCTTTCTGGACCGAAGCTGAAACCCATGCGCATAACTGTCCGTTTTTTTTTTTAAAGAACCAGATGCTCGCCTACCATGTAGTACGGACATAGGAGCAAACCGAGCTTTATTCTGAAAGTAACACAAATTGAAGATCACCAAATGTTTGGAGCAGCCCAGATTTAACAGTGAAAAACGGGTGACCGAGTCGGTACATCAAGCCTGTCCAGAATTTCAGTCAACTGGAAGACAACGAGACGGTATTTTATTCTCAAGAAAATAAACTAACAGATGTTGTGAAATGGAAATGACTGTCAACATCTGTCCCCAAATCTGTTCGAGCTGAAGGTGGAGCAGGATTTTTCGCTGGGCTCTCTGTGAGGTGTGATGGAATAAAATGCTGCGCATTACCGCTTAGGTTACATGATTCTCAAAAGCACCTGAGTCGGGAATTTATCCTTGACCTTTTTGTGTTTAGGCTTCTGCTGTCTTCTGCTACGGAACGAGGAGGATGGTCTTTGTCCTACATGTGATTGTCATGTCTTCGGCGTTTTTCAATCCCAGTTTTGCCTTCAGCTCCCACTTCGATACAGGTAAGGGTCAATCTGATGAACGATGGTGTTTTTCCATTATGTGTCTTCTTAATCAAACTGAGCGATATCTGGTGTTTCATGTAGGGCCACGCTGTGTCTGGCTTTATCATTGTACACACACACACAGCATTTTATTAGTCACCACCATCATCATCATCATCATCATCATCAACATCCGCTCCCACAGTGAGCTTAAATATTCAAAATTAGCATAGGTATAGTTGTTTTACATTCAATGACATCTTAGTGACGAGGGCTAAAAGTTAAGCCTGCACATATTCTGCATAGTCCTACACCCTGCATCTAAATGTGTGTGTATGTGTGTGTGCTGCAACATCACAGAGGTGACATGCTGACAAAGGTATAATGCAGACATGCTTGAGATGGCATTCTCTTCGCCCGTTTTAATGCAGCGTTTATGAATCCTCTGGATGTTGGCGTGATGGGGAAGAGGACCCAGGTGCTGCTGCAGTGCTACGGGACCACCGAGCAGGAAGTCATGGCTGTCCTGTGTAGGGGCTTGAATTAGAGCAGAATAAATAACGGTTTGCACGTGTACCCTGCAATGTGCTGAGCATACAAATGACAGTGAGTCCAGTCAAGTTTTGGACTCTATCAGTCCTCCCCTAACTGCATTAGTGATCACTCTTTGTCCAAGTATTCCACCCACATACCTTCCTGTGACTCCCCACTTCATATTATTTGCATATCTTCTCGGTTTTCCACCAGAACGTGACACTAAAAAGGGCTTCCATTTAAAGTCAACATTTATTTGTAAGAGAGTCCCTGTGCATTTTGGAAGTTGATGTGCTCACAATCAGATTTCATTTATTCCTGTATTAGTCCCACAGCGGACATTATAGCAAGAAATCATTTTGACTGTCAACATCCAGTTAAAAATAATGAAGTAATGAGAGCACACTTTCAGATCTAGAACCACTGCTTTTACAGTCATAGTTTTTTCTTTTAATGCAAAACCAAAGATAAACGATAAGTTAATAATTCCAAAGACTGTAGGTACATTGATATGACAACACGTCTTTGAAGGATTTGTTTATTAATAATGACTTACCTGTTCCAGATAATATTCTGCTCTGATTCATATTACACTGCAAAGAGAAACACACAGGGGTTTAGTGTTCTGATATTTGGAAAACCATGACAAAAGCACTTCTCGGTGTGGAATGTGTAGTGGGTGCTGAGCTGGCTGGTTCTGCAGTGAAATATGATACAAACCCACCCGAAGAGTGCAACCTTTTAATTTGAAGCAGGATATTAAATGGTTCCCAGCTGAATTATGGGTAAAATGCTTGCCGACTGTGGCTCTTGTGGGGCATCTTCTAATTTAATAGTGTTAGTGTATTCTTCCAGGAGTACATTTCAGGTTTTAAAAATAGTCTCTCAGGAATGTGCAGTGAAACATTCCTTTATCTTTTCTTCGGCTGACAGTAGCTAAATGAATAGCTTCAGCGACAGATCAGGGTGGAATGCATTGGGATTGGTTCTCTTTAGAAGCATGGTGGGGCCCGAGTGGGCGTGTACAAGTAGCTTGTATTTAGCATGAGGAGAGGATGGATGTCTGTGTCGTCACTCTCCTGTCATAATGATCTACATTTCTCATTAGAGGAGCACCTCGAAGCAGACTGTTCCTCCCTAATGATTGATCTGAGGATCAGTGTTGCCTAGGGGAGAAAGGGGCTGTGTGAGGAGGCCAGTGCTAAGGACAAAGTTATACATATCAAACAGTTACAAACACAACATCTAGAGTTTGAACTGTAGCAGTGCTCAGCTGCAATTCCTCTCTCTGAGCCCGGGTAAGAACATGGTGTGCTCTTCCTATGCACATACTCATGCACATAAACACACCAAGACAGACGTAAACTAGAGGCTAGGTAGGTCGACAAGCTGCACGTCATTATGAAAGCCATTTGAGGATGGATGTAAACACCATGGCAGGATTTTTTTAACTCTTTACCATCAGCCCTCACACAGCACCGGGTCTTGTTTCGTGTGCGGCCAGGGGGAAAGTTGTGTAAATGTGTGGCATTATGCACCGATGACAACCACGACTTGCACCTGGCTTACTACTGCTTCAGCACCTCGGAGAGCTCTCCCATCAGCGAAGGGAGCAGATGTGTGTCTGTGTTGGCATGTGTGTGTGTGTGTGTGTGTGTGTGTGTGTGTGTGTGTGTGTGTGTGTGTGTGTGTGTGTGTGTGTGTGTGTGTGTGTGTGTATGAAGGGTATTTGAAAACCTGGCTGCATCCTGTGAACAGAACTAATATGCATCGCTTTACTGTTGGGGAAACCAGAAGGCAGACTGACCTGAAAGGCATCACCGGTACACTGACAAGCTGACAATGCAGCAGTGTGGGAGTCTTTCAGCAGTCTCCTCTGGTGCCTGGAGGTGGCAGTGGCAGCTAGTGCGAATGCTATGGATTGTATCTTTGTGTAAACGCATAACAACACACACTTTTCTATCGCTCACACACACTTAATGCACATTCCACATACAGGAACATTTTACACGTGCCCTTGTGTAAACATGGACACGGCACTGCACCTTTGACCAAGGTGCTACTTATATCGGAGAAGAAGGATATTTTGACTTGCTCTCGGAGCTCCTCCCACTCTCTCGGTCACTGCTGACTATTGGATTATTCATCTCTCCATGTGTAACCAAGCACTTTAGTTACATAAGTAAGCCTCTGCAGGAACTCAAACAAGAATGAAGTGGATTCAAGCAGTCAAGTGGAACCATGTCTCCTATGTGCTCTCTGTGGGATGAGGTGGTTCTTTTTGTTTCATAATGGCTTGTGTGTGTGTGTGTGTGTGTGTGTGTGTGTGTGTGTGTGTGTGTGTGTGTGTGTGTGTGTGTGTGTGTGCAACTGCATACTTGATGGGCTTCATTATGTATTTAATTTGTCACCAAACATCAATTATTGTCAGTGAATTTAAATAGTTGAGCAGCCTGAGAGCCATTTTATGATGATGATGATGATGATGATGATGATGATGATAAAATGACAACAGAAAAGAGGATCCATGTGTGTTCTTGTGTTCAAAAGGACCGCTCATCGATAGGTGAAACACATTCGGGTCAAAAGTGCCACTGTCTTAATTCACTGCCACTATTCAGAGCACATCCTCCTAATATGTGCTTGGACCAAGAAACCAGAAGAATATGGCAGGGAGTATAGGTGCATGGCAGCCAGCATTACTCACACTAACTTGTTTTGCTCAGGTATGTTTGTGTCTTTCCACTCGAACAGGCACACACATCTCCACAGAAACACACACACACACACACGCACGCACGCTAACACACACACACACACACACACACACACACACACACACACAGAGACACACACACACACACACTGCCTTGTGTCTGCATCATGAGACTCAAGGCTCAAATGTCATTCCAAGTGCATATTTCTATGTCTCATATGGTTTCACATGCATCTAATTTGTGTGTTTTTAAGTATGCAAAAGCCCTAAACGCCCCGATCACGCCCTCCTGGAGCCATTGTGCAGATAGGTGGAGATGATTTACTCATAAATTATACAATAGATTGTTTTAGCCTTAAAACAGTAATGCCTATGTTAGATTGCACCCCTGCCAATATCAACACATTAAGTTAACATTTTAAGCAGAGTTTAAAGAAGTTTGTTGAAAATCAGTTGTTAGAGCTTAAAATAAATGTGAAGTATTGTTGTTGAATAGTGTTTTTGTTTTTGTATGGATTTTAACACCGTTTATCAAGTCAAACAAAGAAAGCACTAACTCATCTTTATTACCTTTTAGCATATGATTTCAATAAAGAAAACTCCTAATATGTCGGGTTGTAGCATTATTGGATATTGTGCCCACACTCAATGAGCTGAATAGGGAATCAATGCCGATAAGGTGAATCTATTCAATTTCTCTGTGTTTATTACATTATATACAACATTGTGTTACCATAGCTTTACACAATTAATAGTCTTGATCTTGCCTTAGACATAAAAAATTAAAAAAGCTTCAGCATCAGTCGTTTCGACTCTCTCTCAAGCCCGAACACATCACAGAGAATGTTGCATGCTTTGACACAGACTGGCAGAACAGAAGTCTCCCTCCCCGTGAGAGCCTCTGCAGACATCTTCCCTCTGCAGTTGTCTGTCGCTTTTTTGAAATCACTTACTTGTATGGTTGCTATGCATGCACAAATGCAAACACACCGCTTCTTGCTTTTGACCAAGACCAAGTAATGACAGTGCTGCAGGGTGGGCAAGGTGCCAGAATACACACCACTGCAATCAAGTCGTCTTGAGAAAGAGTAAGGGGGAGACAAAGAGGGGGGAAAAGAGAGGGTGAGATACCGTTTCAACTGCAGTGAGTATACAACAGATTGGTGACAAATAGATATGTACATCACGCAGTAACTGTGTTATATAAAAGTATTTAGTTTGAATGTGTGGTCCCTGACTGAGCTTTGTGTCTTTCAGAAACTATATGTTGGCTATTTTGACTAAGAAACATGTCCCGGTGGCGCTAATGACCTAGCTGCATTGAATACACTGCAAGTATTTCAGTCTGTGGAGGCTAATGCCACCATATGTAACAAGAGACTGCCATTATTAAACCACTCAAGCGACTTTTCACTTCCCCTCCATGATCCTAATGTAAAGCACACGACACAAAAAGAGAGCAAAACGGGCCCCACATCTCTCGGATCATGAATTCAAATTCAGGACAGTGTTGCAGGGGCAAACAAGCTCCTCCATCTGCCCTGCCTGAGCTGCACCAAGTGCCTTCCAACAAAAACACTCACACACACAAACACAACAGTGATGGAGGAAGAAGGGTGGGAAAGCGCTTAGGATAGATCAGACTGGATGGATAGAGACAGGAGAAAAGTGTGACCAAGGGTGTAACTTTGGTTTGAGAAGTGGGGGGGAGACAGAACAGGGGGTCCTCCGCAATGAAACATTTTTCTCCATTTAATTCCATTTCCTG